TCACCCCCGGGTTATTTTGCTGCAGCCGGACTGCGGCACTAAAGCACAAAAAGTAAAATAAAAAATCAATTAATGGGATGGTATCAAACTAAAAAGCATCCTCACAGCAAAGGAAACAATCAAAAACATGAAGAGAGAGCCTACAGAATGGGAGAAAATCTTTGCCACTGGCACCTCAGATAAAGCATTAATCTCCAGGATATAAAAATTTATCAAAAAACTTAATACCAAAATAAATAATAATAACCCAATCAATAAAATGGAAAAGGAACTGAACAGGCACTTCACAGAAGAAGAAATATGATCAGTCAACAAATATATGAAAAAGTGCTCAACATCTCTAGTAATTAGAGAAATCCAAATTAAAACTACACTGAAATTTCATCCCACGCCCATCAGAATGGCAATTATTAAAAATATATGTAACAATAAATGTTAGTGAGGATGTGGAAGGAAAGGCACACTCATACATTGTTGGTGGGACTGCAAATTGGTGCAACCATTCTGGACATTCTGGAAAGCAGTATGGAGATTCCTTAGAAAACTTGGAATGAAACCACCATTTGACCTGGTTTTCCCATTCCTTAGAATATACCCAAAGGACTTAACTATAATATACTATAGTGATGTTGCCACATCAATGTTCACTGCAGCTCAATTCATAGTAGCTAAACTATGGAACCTTCCCAGGTGCCCATCCACAGATGAATGAAAAAAGAAAATATGGTATATATACGCAATGAAATATTACCCATCCATAAAGAAGAATGAAATTTTGGCATTTGTCAGTAAACTGATGGAAATGGAGACTCTCGTGCTAAGTGAAAGAGCCAATTGCCCCCCCCCCCCCAAAAAAAAGACCAAATGTTCTCTCTGATATGTGACTTTAACATACAATAAGGGAAGGGGGAATAGAAGTTGATTAGATTAGATATAGGGGAAGGGAGGTGGAATGGGATTAGGAAAGACTGTAGAATAAATTAGACATAACTTTCCTATGTTCATATATGAATATATATATAACCAGAGTAACTCCATATTATGTACAACCACAACAATGAGACGTTATACTCCAGTATAACATGTCTTAATACACTCTAATGTCATGTATATCTAAAAGAAACAAATAAATTGTTTTCACAAAGAAAATGAAAGTAATTTATGGTTTGAAAATATGTATTCATTTCTTAAATATTTGTGGATTCAAAAATATTAACATTTATTTATTTTTGTTTTCAAGTGGAGTTTTTGTATGTACTAAAACAAATTACCTAACCTTAAATGAGTTATTTTTGTTTGTAAAAATATTGGATAAAACAAATGAAGCAAAACAGCATATTCAATACATTAACAAAAGTATCAGAAGAATGAAATGTATAAAAACCTCAGTTCTTGGCCTGTAATTTCAACTCAGTGTGTAAGTCATTAATTGATTATTGCCACTTTCCGAAGACAATCTAATTTATCAATTATCAGTGTTCCAACTTAGAGAAATAAAATATTTTCTGATTATTTTCAAGTTATAATAGAACTTTACAAAAAAGCTCAAAAGAAAGGAGAACAATATAATGAACCATCATTTACCTATTGTCCAACAGTGGTATTCTGCAACTTTTCTTCATTCTTCAGCCAATGTATTTTTCAGTACTTTGTGCATCCTAAGTAAGACCTATAAGCTTTGACACTGGATTCAGATTCATTAAATACTTCTTGATCTTCAAAAGATTTTAGCCTCTCAACTTGGTGATATCATTTAAATTTGTTGGACTGCCCTCAGGAAATGATTTCTCAATTTCAGTTATTTAATTTTCTTCATTTAAAAATGAAAGTTAGAATATTAAACTGGATAAGAGCGCTCCAAATGTGATTCTCTCATTAGTCCCCATCTAGAGTATTTTCTCAGTGACTTAGGTAGATGTTTTAGAACTACTGTCGTGTATAACATATGGGTACAACTTAAAGTCTTATGCTAAGTAAAAGAAGTCACACAAAGGGCTACTATTGGATGGTTCGATTGGTTTTTACTGAAGGTCTTAAAAGTAAAACTATAGGGAGAGAATATATATCAGTGGTTGCCAGAAAGCAGGGTTATAGGGAAGAGACAAAAGCTGATAATGATGAGACTGTTGTGTTTGACGGAAATGCTGTATATCTACATTGTGATACTGTTTACTTGACTGCATGAGCTTGTCAAAATTCACCAAGCTGCACACTTAAGAATGGAGAATTTTATTGTGTACAAATAAATTATGCCTCAATACAGCCAATACATCCAACTCAAATAATTATCTATCAAGTGGTAGTCTGATGGACTAAATACAATGGGACTGCCATCTCACCCCAATGGAATAACATAATACTAATGCAGTTAAAAGTAGCATTTGATTTTGGAAAACCACTTCACATTTTTGGTTCAGACCAAACTTGCAATCTATTAAGATATTTTATGTGTTTAGGTTGTTTAAATAAAATTCAGTATTACATATTAAAAGTTTTAAGATTCTGTCTCTTATATTTAAATCTGCCACATGAACTTGGCAACATCTTTTGGCATCTGCATTTCACTGTAGGAAATATCAGGTATTCCATACAACTTTGTGTGATCCCTCATTTGGTCAGCATGCTTTCATTCTAGGGAATTTGTGTTCTGTGTAAAAAAGTCATTGTGAATTTGTTTATTTTAGTTCTATACAAGATTATATGAATCATATGATCTGTATATGGTAACAGGATCTAAACTGATAAAATCTCTTTTTAAGAAAAGTGTCATATGTTCTGAGTTAATACTTTAAATTAATTTTTGAACAAACATTTTAGATCTTTCTTTTAAGGCCACTAGTGTTAATTACTCTAACACTCATTTCCTTCAGTTCTCTAAACTTTTATCTTTTAAAGGGTGTTTCTGTATTTAAAGAAAAAACTACATAATACTAAACTTTCATACATAAAGATGTCTTAAAATGCCATATATTTTCCATACAATTTAATACATTAAATATGTAATTTTCATCTTTTAAAATTACATAATGTTACTCTTTGTCTAAACTTGCAATGTTCCTATCCTTCTGAATTATTGTAGAAACACATACAACACACACACACACACACACACACACACACACACAAACACATGAAAGAAATGTTCTTTCAAAATAAATTCCTGTTCATTTTTAGATTTAAGATATATAAACACATTCAACTATAAAACAAAATGCTCATCTCCCAAACAAATGAGGAGAGGATAATTTTGCCCTGACAACATTCATTATTAAGATGAATGGAGAATATTGAGATGAGAGTTCTTTAACTTTCACATAGAATATTTTTTGTTTTGTTTCTTTTTCTTTTTCTTTTTCTTTTTTTTTTTTTAGTTTAGGTGGGTTTTGTTTTGCTGGGGAGCAAACCAATGGTCTCACATATTATGCAAGTGCTTTATTGCTGAACTACAACCCCAACCTCCATGAACAGATTTATATAACAAAATATTCTAGATTTCCCAGTTATAAGATATGCAAAGATTCTTTAAATTATATCATAGTCTCAGAAATGATATTCTATGGATTTGATATTCTTTAATAGTTTACTATTTTTACTTACCCAAGAATTTCAGTAATTACATATCTTGCAAGATTCTCAAATAGAAAAATTGTAATGCATGAGAAGGAGAAGTCATATTTAAACCAACCTTACTTATTTTCTAGATACTTGAGCTTTTCCTCCTGATCATGTATCTATTCAGAAATAACTTCTCAGGGGAGAGATGTGCAGCTGATTCTTTCTCTAGTGTTTTCCATGTTGGTAAAGGAGAGCAAATTCAAACCAGTACACAGAATAGAAGAAATTAACTTACAGAACTGTATATAATTTAGGGCATGCACATAGGGATTTGGCTGATCTTAAATGTACACATTCATCCATTTCATCTTTCATAATGTCTTCTTTATTGTACTGCATATGGAAATGTCAATGAAAACTATCAAACTAAAAAATATTTTATGAAAGTCATAAAATGTTAGTTTGCATTACATTTCAATCAAGAATTATGGTTAATTCAACATGCTGTTCGTTATTTCTCTAATTCAGTTCCTGTGAGATAGTCACTGGAAACCCTGTGGGAATCTGAAAGGTCATTTTCAATGTCACCAATAGACATTAGGGCTGGGAGGAAACTGCCCCCCAGTGGCAGGGTATTTTAAAATAACTAAATATTTTAAAACATTGTTTCAGGTTTTAATACTGAAAAATAACACCTATCATTTTATCTGTATTGAATATCATAAAAAGAATCCAGAAATAAAAGTGTGAACTCTACTAAAAAACAAAACAAAAAAATGTCCTGATAAATTTGAAATAGGTGAGAAGAATGAAGAAATAAATGAAGAAATAAATAACTCTAGTGAAATATCACAAACTACATGGTTTTTAAGTTTGCTGAAAAATACATGCATTCATTTGCCATTAGTGTTTTTGCAAATGATATTTTCTAAATATATTAAACTTATTTACCACCATATTCTTGCTTCCAGTGTGCTCTACAACATAGCTGAGAAGATAGGACAGATCCCCACTTTACTCAAAACATAAATCAAAGGGAACAAATCAAAAGTAATCAAGTTTACCAAAAGATGTTATGACTGCACAATTGGCAACTTGAGTGCTGAATTTAATGTGGCAAAAATAAATTCACATTTTTAGATACCTTCTCCATAATAGTATAACTTCCTAGAACTAAAATCATAAAAGAGTAGGAGATGAAGAACTCTGGACTACAAAAAATTATTTTAAAGCATACTGGTTAAGAGAAAGGAGGGAGGGAAGGAAAAAAGCAAGGAAGGAAGGGACCTAAAAATTAAAAGAACACACCAGCAGGTCATTTCTTGAAATACCTTGTAGATCACTTTATGACAACTTGAAAGGAATTTTAAAACTCATGAAATGCCAATTATACAGAATAAGGTAATTTTGCACACACTCTTTTTTAAAAGAGTGGTTCATCTTACCTCTACTACCAGCTGCTGAAGGGATGGTGATGCTACAGGATGCAGACTTGAGTTCCCCCTTATGGGACTGTGGAGGCTAATATAAGCCACAACATCTTTTTGCAGAACCTTTTTGAAATCCTGAAATTTAAAAAAAAAAAAATCTATCTTTAACATAAATAAAAATAATTACTTTATTATTTAGCTGTTAAATGATAAAGGGTTTTTCATTAAAATCATTATGTTGCAGCAGTACATTTTTAAAAGCACTTAATAAAATAAGTCAACGTTGGAAGAAGATTTTAAATAAGGGTGATAAGGAGTTAGATACAAAATATGATTAAATATTTTAAAACATGTTCTGATAAAAGTCAAGTTTTAAAAGAAAACATCTTTAAAAACATAGCATTGCATGGGATTCAACTACAGAATACAGGATGGATATTTGCTTCAATGAGAGCACTTAATTTTATAGTCAGTGAGTTAGACAAGGATGAAACTACTTCCATGATTAATAAAATGAGTCCTTTCCTTTGGAGCTTTGAGCTACTCTTACACACAATACGTGTTATTCTTAGAAACATGGGGCATTATACAATTGTGACCCTGCAGATAAATTTTATTAAAAAAACAATGCATTTCATGCACATTAATGACATAAAAATGATTCACTTGTTAAGTTTTCCACATGTCTGCTTACCCCAACCCTACAAAATTGAAAACAACTGACTATATTAATAATGTACTACTAAGGGGAGCTTGTGTTATTTTTCTGCTTTACTTACACAAATATTTAATGAGTAATTCTTATGTAGAAGTTCCATTGAACATCTTAAAAACTATATTAAGTCATGCCTTGGGAAAGTATCTTTCCTCTTTCTGAGGAGAAAGATTATAAGGACTTCTATCCTTAGCAAATCTTATCTCTATTTTATGTTGAAAATTCAGCTATTACTCTGTAGGAGAGGTAAAGAGACAATTATTTAAAATTTTAAAATGTCTTAACTGAACACAAATCATTTATTTTAACCTTGAATAATTTACCTCTAAGCTGGCTCAAATAATATCTATTATTACTTAAAACCTATGAAAAAAAAATGCTTTTATTTGCACACTATGACATACACACATTCTGTACATGCTGATTCATATAATCCTTATGAGAACCCCTCAAGATAAGCATTAGTGAATGTATTTGAGGATTCCAGACTTAGAGAATGTCACATGTTTTATAGAAGAAAGAATTTGAACTCTGACTTTTGTACTCTAAAATTAGTAGTATTTCCACAATATCCAGTGAAAATTAAAGATTCTTCACAGAAGAAATGGTATTTTTAATAAAAACATTCAAGGATGTGTTATATTTTTCTTTAATGACCAAGTTCAGTATTAAGTCCATTCTCTAAAATTCTGTCACTACAAATCCCATTTTTAAGTTTATTGGCCAATATCACCTAATCCTCTTAACTACCACTGTGGATTTCCAGGGATTTCTACCCAAGCAAAATTAAATAGCACAACATGGCATGTCAACAAGACCTTTCTTCACTCTCCTTTAACAGAGAATATACTTAGAACACAAGTTGGTTTTAATTTAAAAGAAAAATGTTTCATTCTCACATGGAGTAGATCTATGTCAGGTCAACCAATAGTATTCTAAATTTCTCTTCAGTTGCTGGTTAGCAAACACCTTTATGGATTGCACTGAAATAATCTCTGAGTATACAGAAAGTTATAAAAATATATTTTATCAGCCAATAATGAAACTTGCACATTTCCTACCTTTTTCACATGCCTTTGTCTTTCTAGTCATGCAAAAATTCAGAAGGTGAATAAATGTATAACCGGTTGTCAAATATATACATAATACAGACACAAACACATACTAAAAACCAATGTATGGAACATTTGGTCCCATAAAACATATTAGGACCGGCTGGGTTTAGTGGTGTGTGCCTGTAATCCCAGTAGCTTCAGAGGCAGAAGCAGGAGGATATCCATTTCAAAGCCAGCCTCAGAAATTTATCGAGGAGATAAGCAACTCAGTGAAATCCTGTCTCTAATAAAAATACAAAATAGGGCTAGGGATATGGATCAGTGGTCAAGTGCCCCTGAGTTCAATCCCTGGTACCCACTGCCCCCCGCAAAAAAAAAAAAAAAAAAAAAAAAGAAAAAGAATTAGAACCAATTGTCCGTGTGTGTGTGTGTGTGTGTATTTTCTAATCTTCTGACTAGAAAGAAACTTTTCTAAGAATTTTTTTTCCTTCTATGGATTCACACATTATAGCATTTGTATATTTGACATCTGATAGAGAAAATATAAAATTACCAAAAAGCACAATAGTTTAATTGAAACTTAAAAATAAATTTAGATTTTATTAAACACAAAAATATCTACTCCACTTGAAAATTTAATTCCTCACATACGTGCAAGTCTATATTGTCTCAGTCCACAGGCTATGATGCTTGAGGCTCAATTAAACTCAAGGACTTTCTGCAATGTAATTTCCTATGAATTTGAGTTTAGGATATTTAAGTTAGGAAATAATAATGTCAGACAAGAGTACTTTGTAAACATAGTTTAGAAATATATATATGCATATATAATTTAGGATTAATATAAATTGTGAAAGTTAATCGAGAAGATTGTACATATAGTTAAATAAAGAAGCATATTTGGAGTTTGAAAAGAATCTTCAAGATATTTTCTTAATATTTATAAGAAAAATGAAACACTGTTTCATTGTTTCCGAATTATTTAAAATAGTCAAAATCACAAACATATTCCCTAAATTGTTTTTGTACTTGTTCACTAATCTTAAAAGTAAGTAATTTGGAATAAGAATTTGAGAGGTTGGTTCAGCTTTAAATTTTCCATCTTACTTACAAATTTGTCAATTTAAAAGGTTCTTAAAGCAATAGAATTTCTTCATTTGGAGTAATTCTTTTGAATATGGAACATTCAAACCACTAATTTGCATATAGAAAAGCATTTCAATTTGCAATTTGTAAATCTTGCTGAACTCTGCACTGTAAAAATGTTCTCATCCTCACAATTTCCTTCCCCTCAAATTAAAAAAAAAAAAGTTGCTATTTTCTTTTCTACACTTTAGATATTTGCTTTGATAGTCAATAGACATTTTATATTTTTGAGTGCTTAAATAAAAAATATAACAAGAGAATTTCACATTACATTAAATTTTTTCCTTTTCTCATTAGGTAGATTTTTTCCTGAGATAGTGAACAAACTAAGCTATAAAATGGTGTTCTAGTTAAAACTAACCATTTTGGGGTCTGTATATTTCCATGAAATCTCCCTTTTTTCATAATTAAAGTAAATAAAACATGTAGGAGATTCACAATGTTTGCATTGTTGTTAAAAGGCATCACCCCATAATGGGTTGTCATATTTCATTTAAAATATAGTGCATCTATGCTGTGTAGACATATCAGAAACATTTGAAACATAAACATTCTGATTGTATTCTGTCTGTGCCCCATTTCATGATTTATTTCATTAAGACACAGGCTTCCTATGGTATTTAAACAAATAGATAAGCAAGTGGGTAGGAAAGAAGTAGAAGAAGAAGGATGAAGGATTGGAGAGAAGAAAGAGAGGGAAGAGGGTAACCACTATTTGAATTCAGTCTCAATATTGTATAGATAACATGTAATGATAAGTTAATCAACTACATAGTAGATTATAGATTATTTCCTAATAGTAGATAATTCCTGGACAGTGTTTTTGGTTTGGGATTTTAGTGTAATGGTATGTATCAACTGATCCTTTTCTTTTCTAGTGCCTGTACAAGTTATCTTATAAGGAGAAGTACAATAATTAAATAATCACTATTATGAGTAATAACAGAGTTTGTAGTTCTAGTAGCAACAGGAAGATTAGATGCATATCATACATGATTTACTCTATGTGGGTCTACCTCTAATTCTTGCAAGTGATCTCAGCAAATCATCAGTTATGACCCCTAGTTCAGAAGCGCAATATCATCTTTGGCTACAAAAATTGTACATTGTCTACCAAAAGAAGAAAATATTATTATTATTAATGTTTTACCTCTCCCCATTCGTATGAGCCAATATTGCCCCAGGTTGTTCCTCCCCATGAGCAGAATACAATAGTGCGGTCAGGTCTCCATCCTTTCTTAACCCTTAACATCAATGCTCGGATAAATGCTGTGATGATTGCAGTACTACTAGCCCATTCTTGTCCATTATAACTGTATCCAGAGTAATGGTGACTGCCAACTATAATATATCGGTCTGGAAACAGAAGGAAATGAGCCATTAAAACAGAATATAAACTTTAACAATAAATTTAATGACATTTACATAATCCTCTTGCATAAGTAAGCAACAATTAAACAAAATTGTTCTAATAATTGAGACTACTTTAACACTTTTCACCCACTGTTTTGATTCACACATCTGTGTATATCAAAGCAGAGGCAGCTGTTAAACCCAATTATGAATCTGAAGCTTAGATCCATATAACTGTCCTTTGCAACATGAATATTAATTAATGAAGTATACAAATATGCCACAATGAAATCTTTATCTAACATTTTTTCCAGAATCCTAGTGGGAAGTGTCCTGTAAACAATGTGTGCATGCTCAGTAAATATTAAAGAACTGTTAATACATCTGAGGAAGCAGTTAGTCAGTAGCTGTAAATATTAAAAATGTGGTAGTCATGTATGGACTTTGTAATAAATGAAGTGTTTAGGCAATTAATTACAGTTTATAGTTTTAGATAGACCTTCAGATAATGGTCTTCTCCATTATCTGAAGAAAACAAATGAAATTCACCAATGTCCATTTTATATGATTATTGAGATTCCTTAGACATACTGTTACAAATGTTTCCATGACAGATAAATGTTGCCCTGTTCAAAGCACATTGACAACTATTGTCACCTATCTTATTGTACTACAGTAGGCTAAAAAAATGTTATTGAATGTTATTGATAAAAATAACATAACTCAATTTATTTGATCAAGTAATCTTTTACATCTATGTTAAAAGTTTTTAAATTATCATTTCATTATGACATCTTTCATATCTTAGTAATAAAGTATGTAGACTCTTCTTGAGTTGAGATCCAAGGTTTGCAACTCATTAATTGTATGATGTTAGAAAGTTTACTTAAACTTTCTATGCCTTAGTTTCTTCAACTCTAATATGGAATACAAGTAATACATCCATGATTCAGTTATATTGAGTTTTAAGTGAGTTACTCTATAAGGCACTTTGAACAGTGCCTGACACAAAGTAGGTCCTACACCTGTGTGGAATAAATGTATCAGGTATTGACTTCATTACCACAAAAAAAAAAAAAATGCTGTAACAAAATGTCATCTCATGAAACTTTTCTGATTTTCCACACTGATTTTGGAACAAGCAATGGGCTTGATCTGTCACCATTTTATTAATACTTAATTACTGGTATTCATAGGGGGCCTGCAAATATTGAAAAGTTGAAAATTTATTGATTCATCTCCCAAATATGAAAGAAAATTCTGCATTAGCTGTCTAGATTCCAAATCAAACATATCAAAAACTTAATATTAATTTATAATTATTTGTAATTTTCAATCACTAAGAAAATCATGTGACTCAGTAACCAATATTTTTGGGTAGAATTAAAACTAAACAAAAAATAGTTTTGTTTAATATACACTGAAGAATCCTAATGGAAAAAAAAATTCAAATAATTTTTGGTAGATTGAATTTTCTTTATCCTGAAGTTAGTATAATTTTGTTCAACTGGGTTTTCCAACAACAAATTGCAAATACAGCAATGATAATGAATATTCTAGTGCTTCCCTTAGAGTTTCTTATGATGGAAATTTGTTGAAATGGTTGAAATAAAGTAGCAACAATTTTCAAATTCATTTTTATCTTGTGTTTAAAGATATCATCACCAGAGCTACAATATTGCTAATACAAGGAAATCAGAGAGAATACATATATTTTTATGAACTTTTTCAGAGTTGACTGGCAAGAAACTGGGAGAATATAAAACTTGATCTCAAAATTCTCTGGGTTAGCAATTAGGTTAATTTGATTAATGCTATGGAGAAGGATAATTCTCCACGGAAAACTCAGTAAATGTCCTTAACCACATTATTATAGTTTGGATATGAGTTGTCTCCCTCAAAATCTCCTGTTAAGTGGGAATGTTAAAACATGAAATGATTGGACTGTGCGAGCTCTACTCTAGTCTATACTAGTTTGAATGGACTGACTGGGTGGTACCTGTAGGCAGGTGGACTTTCCTGGAGGAAGTAGGTCACTGGAGGCATGCCCTGGAAGAGCTACTTTTCCCTACAGCCCCTTCTCCCAAGTGTGATCTGTCTCTGTGGCTGTCCTTGTATCTGTCTCTATCTCTCACTCTTTCTGCTTCCTGACCCTCGCATAAGCTGAAAGGGTTTCTTCTACTTAGCCTTTCCCCTCACCTAGAACCCAAAACAATGTATGGAGCCAGCTGTCTATGGACTGAGACCTCTGAAATTGTGCTCCAAATAAACTTCCTCCTCTAAGTTGTTCTTGTGAGGTACTTTGGTAACAGCAATGAAAAGACTAACTAAAACACCCATCAAGAGAAGTGGCCCAAGTTTAACAACACACTGTTGTACTCTATACTGTATAACAGGCTAATTAAGACAGTAATATGTGATTCAGCTTTATGATATATTTGATAGTGTTGATATTATTCTCTCTATATACATATCATTAGTTTTACTTTTGTAAGTCTATGTAATGTCATCTGAAGCACCCATCAGCAGCCCATAACAAAACAGAAAATGATTTAAAATTTAGCCAGGTGGTAATTTACATAAATACCCTCAAAACCTAAAACTGTGTAAACACTAGGAAGAAATGTCAGCAGAGCAAGGATCAGGGGTGAACATCAATTAACAATGAAAGATTACATTTGAAGATAAAAGCTTTTATGTGTAAAAAAAAGCATCATTAAAAACTAAAATGTTTTTAATGTTTTTTCTTGATAAAAATAAAAATTTAAATGTTGTTATATAGTGAGGAAAAGATAAAACAGAGAAGAAAACATTGGCTTTCGAGTCACATGTCAGTTTAACAAATCTAAACTCATTCTTGTTTCACTCCCCTCCCCTGGTACACACAAACTCCCTACTGAGGTTTACTTTAGAAGATATATAATAGGAAAGAGAATAAAGAGAGACTTCTTAGTCTGATAATGATTCGCAGTGTAATATAAGTTTAAGATATTTGACTATGTTATGAAATTACTATAGAATATTTCCTGTTAAATTTCATATCAATTTTTGATTTTAAATATTTAATTCTACTTACCTGGAGAGGCCATGCCCTTTAAATATCCAATAACATTAGTGACTGTCTTGAATTTTGTGACTGTCTGAATTTGCATGCTGACAATTCTTATTTCTGAAAAAAAAGTTTAAAAAGATGTTTTTTGTCTATATTATTCTGATATTTTTCTTAAAAGATTAACATTTATTTATCTAAAACTATCAGGAAAAGAATTAGAAATACTTGAAATTTTCAGATAAGCAAAATTATACTTTTTTGCCAAATATTTATTGACTACCTTAGTGGAAAGTCTATTTTAAGTGCTTGTTATACAATGATGACTAAGATAACAATTGCTGGCCTGGTAGAACCTCAGAGCCATAAATAGGCAACTCTAACCTCACATTCAGGGTTATAAGGTGGTTCAACATGAAAGCACACAGGAGAAAAACTCACACTGCCCAAAAAGAGAAAGAGAAAAAATAGATAAATAAATATATTTCCAGAGAAATAATGAATATTTCCCTATCTTAAACACACACACACACACACACACGGAAGGAAGCACTTTTAAAACTCTAAAGTATTATACAAATTAAAAGGATAAAGATACTTACAGCTATATATATTTTCATATATTGGGTTCTTTATTTCCACCTATGTTCATAGGTCCCTCATCTCTACTATAAATCCTAATTATGCACCTTGAGTTCTTCTATTTATACTTATTATTGAAAACTTTGTAAATAAGCTGAAGACATTAGTCAGGATGGACGAGGTCACAGGCCTGACATGGTCTTTGAAGGCCTTTGGTCCTGATGGGTTAATCTTATACGTGGTTGCTCCTGGGCAATCTGGATAGGATGGGGTTCTGGTGAGGTGTAAGAACAGCCCAATGAGGTCGGGGGGCCAGGCAGAGGGTAGCAATTAGAAAAGAGTTCATGCTAAGCAGCCACCCTTTAATAGCAAGCCCTCTATTGTCACTTCTTACTGCTCAATGAAAATTATAATAAATATGTTGCTTCTTCCTTAAATGGTACAAATTAAATTTAAATTAATAGTTTAACTGGAAAACCAGTACCACTGAATCTGTTAAAATTATAACTGCAGAGTAAAGAGGTTCTGTGAGAAAGCCTGCCTGTCTCACCTGTGGGACAATGTGCTTTTAATTTAGATCATGTGCATTTTTGTTAGTTTGTTTTCCAATCAATAGAACTTGTTTTTCAGAGCAATTTCAGGTTTGCAGAAAATACAAACCATTCAAATAGCTCCCTCTCTCCTGTGCTTCATATAAGTAGCATTTTGCATTAGTGTGGAATATTTGTTAAGTTGAAGGTCCTGTATTATTTTTTTAAACTGAAGTCCATAATTTTTATTAGGGTTCATTCTTTGTGCTGTGCATCCTATGGGTTTTGACAAATGTATAATGACATATATCCACCACAGTTGCATCATACAGAATAGTTAACTGCTCTAAAAATCCCCTGTGTTCCACCTATTCATCTTTCGTTTCTCCTTGGCAACCACTCATCTTTTTACTTTCTCTATAGTTTTCCTTTTCCAGAAAGTCATATAGTTGGAAAATTATCATTTGTTTAATTTCCTATTCTAGATTTGTTCCAAATCATCCAGATAAGTGAACTTTCTTTTTCCTCCAAGCCCTTAGGATTTAGATATTACTGAAGAATATTTCCTGGTTTTCTAGCACCCAGTATTAACTGTTCTTTCCTGATTCATCATTGAGTAAAACTCTCGATATATACAATATACTGCTTGGAATATTACCTTACATTGATAAAGGGCCTTACAATTTACATTATTCAGTTAAACACACACACACACACACACACACAAATTCTCACTGAATATCAGTTATCCTTGAACCATGAATTATATGAGTCATTATATTTATTTACTGAATAAAACACATCGTGAAAGAATTGGGGCTTGAATCCAGGTCTTCATATAGTTAACATTTTTATATGAACAACAAAGTGTTCTTTAAGACTCCATTTTAACTTTTTTGTTTTGAAATATTTATCAGGCAGCCAAAAGAAAAAGAACTAAGACAATGTATGATAATGATCCACATCTAGATTTAACATGTTTATATTTTTCATTGATGCTCTTCTCTAATAGTCAAATTAATACAATTTTACTAATTTCATTTTTACCCTGAAGTTAAAATTAATAATTTTCAGATAAGTACTTTAATATATTGATAGGTAGGCAGAAATAAATAAATACAGGCAAAGATACAAACATATCCTACTACTTTTCAGGTTTTGGAATTTTACATAAATTATACCTTATTTTTCACTTAGTATTACATTTTTCCCAATTTTTCATGAAAGTAGATAGAGATCTATATTAATTATTTATTTTAATTGTAAGTGGATACAATAACTTTATTTTATTTACTTATTTTTATTTTTATGTGGTGCTGAGGATCAAACCCAGTACCTCATAATGTGAGATGAGTGTTCAACTATTGAGCCACAACCTTAGCCCCTCTGTATTATTTACTTTAGCTATTCAGTAATATTTGGATTTTGGATCAAGGCCAAATTATTTTCCAGGTCAATTACTGAGGATTAACAAAGTTGATTCCTCTTTTTTTGGCATAATGGTATAGCAAAGAACATTTTTAAATGTTTTGATGCACATGTGTTATGCTAATACAAGTGGAATTCCTAGCTTTTAATATATGCATATTCATCATTCAATTTCTTGTCTCTATACTTGACTGTTTTCCGTTGTACTGTTTATCATTGACGGTTTTTTTTAGAGGTTCTTTCTTAGGATATTATTTCCTTATTGATTATGTGTATTAAAATGTCTATTATATTTACAAATTAATATAGTCAAATTTATCAATATTTTTACCAAGAATATGTTGATAGGATTGTTCGTCTTGGCTTATAAATCATGTTCTTATCCTGTGACAAGAAAATGTTCTTCAGGTGTTTCAAAACTTCTAAAGTGAGTTTTCAAATTTATGCCTTTCATGCAGCATGTCCTGAAGCAGGCATTCAATTTTGTCTCTGGCTATGAATAGGCAACTCTTCTCAGATAATTTATTGAATAATTAATTTTATTCTCCTTGAAGCTGTTGTCATATATAATAAGTTTTAATTTATATATGAATCTATTTTTAGCCTTATTATTGCACTTCATTTAAACCTGTGACATCTTATTTAAATTATGTAGGTTTATTATATCTAAAATGGTCGATCTTCTATCATGAGCATCATTAGCATCAATATGACCATCATCCAATTGCATTATGATTCGATTTGGGAGATATTTATAAACTATTACTTTCATATGAACTTTAATATTAGCTTTTTGAATATCATGAAAAAAAACATTTCAAGATGTCATTGAGATTGCATGACATTAATAGATCCATCTGCAGAAATGATATTGAGCAGCATGTGAATAAGAGATGCATCTCAATTTATTTCAGTTTACTTCATTATATTTTTCTGCAAAACACGTTTTGCACAACTATTATTAAAATTAAATTTATTTTTATGGTTTCTCAGCTATTTAAAAAATATTTATAACTACTTACATTCCATATAAGAATGCTATTTAATTTTTTATTTTCATCTTCGAATGAGCTTTTTGTTAAACTTCTGTATGTTCTAACAGTTAACCTGTAGGGTTCTTATGAACATATTCAGTGAGGACAGCTCCTCACATGGATGGGATTTTTTTTTCTTTTAAATCTGCATAGCTTTTGCTTCTTGCTCTTAATTGATTGTTTTGTCTAGAACTTTCAGTTCAGTGTGGAATGGAGGCCAAGATAGCAAAATTGCTTTGTCTTTGTCTTTTATTCTTTAAAATAATGTTCCTCAGATTTTATCTTGGGGGAAAAACCAGTTTGCTATAATTTCCTGGGAATTTCCTTTTATCAAATGAAGATCACTTCTATTCTTACTTTTCTAAGAGGTTTTACCATAAATAGCTATTGAATCATCTATTGAGATAACTGTAAACTTTTTTCTTTGCAGCGTTTAAAAATGCGGATATTTACAGAATCAGTTCTACCTGGTCATATGTTTTCTGAATCTGATGATGAATGATTTTCAAATATTTGCATATGTATGTGTGTGTGTGTGTGTGTGTATGTGTATGAGAGAGAGAGAGAGAGAGAGAGAGAGAGAGACAGAGAGAGAGAGAAAGAGAGAGAGAGAGAGAGAGAGAGAGAGAGAGGGAGAGGGAGAGATCAGTTGATAATTTTACTTCTCATTTGTTCTAGCTTCCTTTGGATATCTGGCTTATACTATGTCAAATGTTTTAGGGATCTTTTCTTCCTTTCTCAGATTCTGTAAGGATTTGTGTAGCATGGGCACTACCTGTTTTGTAAAGGAGTCCAGATATAATTTCTTTTTCCTGTACATTTCCTTAAATATGATGTCTATATCTATAGCTATTATTTCTATTTTATTATAGAATATAGACTTAGCTTTTTTTACATAGCTTCTTAATTAAATGTTTGTCTCACTGCTTTTCAATTTTTTTTTCCAATCTTTTTACCAGCCAGCATTGTGTTCTTGGGATCAAAATGCCTGATGAGAACAACTGAGAGGAGGAAAGGTTTATCTGGACTCATTGTTTCAGAGGTTCAGTCCATGGTCAGCAACTCCATTGCTGTTGGTCCAAGATAAGGCAAAACATCCTGGCAGAAGGGCATGGTAAAGGAAAGCTGTTCAGCTCATGGGAGCCCAGGAGCAAAGAAAGAGAAGTTGAGGCACTACGAACAAAATATATAAACCCCCAAATTGTGTTCCCAATGACCTGCTTTCTTCAATCACACTCTATCTATAGTTCACCACCTAGTACAGCAGTCCTTCAAATTGTTAATCTACCAAATTGGTTAATCCACTGCTGAGGTTATGGCTCTTATAATTTAATCATTTCATTTGTGAACATTCCTCTATTTTCTCACAATGAGTTTTCTGGGACACCTCATATTCTATCTGTAACAATATGTACCTAAAAGGCTACAGATTTTCTAAGTAGTTGTAGTACATTGATGTTTATATATATTATGGTTTTATAAATTCCTGATTTTATACATTTCTATTGTAATTCCTTTCAAATATATGTATGTGAGTTTAAAAAAA